GATGAGTTGAATAAACAGCCGAGGTGTTAAATATTCACTTTTATTTCATTTTATAATTATGAAGCTGAAGCTGAAGCTTTTCAGCTTTCGGCCATCTTCAGAGCATTAAGTTTAACACCGGTAAACTGTAAACTTTTAACTTTTTTCTTATTTAGCATCAGTTGCAAAAAATTTGAATTTCCTGCTCACATGAAAAACTTAAGTCTACTTGAATCAAACTGCGCACAACAACGGTTTTGGCAAGCTTCTCAAGAAGCAGTTATTTTCCCTCACCCTGTATTGTTCAAATTTTAAAAAAAAAAAAACGTGCAACAGCTGCGTCAAAATGTCGATATTGAGGAGTTGTCACATTTTTTTATCGCAGAGACTGTCATGGTGATGTTTAAAGTACAATTCAATTCAAGTAGATAATTGTGTTTTCTAAAAGCGGGAGGTTTGACTTTATGTATGGAAAAACGTTAATATCTTGGTTAAGAGTATTTTCAGTAATAATTTTTGTAGAAATCGTGTTCGATGTGAAATTTTGATAGGGAAATGATTCAGGGTGTCTAGTTTTTTTTTCATTTTGGGAAATCCTGATTTTTCTTGATTTTTTATGGCTAAATCCTGATTTCGTCATTTTCCAAATCCTGATCAAATCCTGGTTTTTTGCGGAGAAAAATTAAAATTTCTGCATACACGTATGTGAAAGCATAAAAAGATCCGATCAGACAGCCGACTTTCCTCAAATCCTGATTTTACGACCGATTTTTCCTCAAATCCTGATAGAATCGGGGAAATCAGGGATTCCTGATGCTAGAGACACCCTGTAATATAATGCTTTAATTTGCACCTTGTATGGTTATCCATTGTAGAGTATCTTTTTTCCTGTCGAATAGAATAATTTCTAAAACAATTAACTAGTTAAAACAATTAACATGTTGTTGCAACAAAAGCACCGATGATGAAGTCAGATCTTAACAAACACAGATTTAGGAGTCTCCGGCACTCCTAGTGAAACAACTGAGCAAATAAATCACTGATAAACCTAAATAGCATGCAACAGAAGTTACGATTCAATAACTAATAAATATGCAATTACAAAAATATACATACATCATTACAATCAACAAGGCTAAGATTGGGAAAAATTCTGCGCAAAACTGTCCAGACTTGAATTTCCTGAAGACGCTTACTGTACAAGATAGTATACTTCGAAAGACACTGTAAAAACCAAAACCTCTTTTGACTTGATAACTTAAATTTAAATTGAGAGTTTAAAATTTTGTCGGTCAGCATCATAAAAGAGCCTACGAGATATTTGTACATCCAAGCATGTGCGCAGAATTAGAAATCTTGTACCATTCCTTGCACACAAATATAACTTAAATTTCTCAAGAATCAGTTCTTGACTCGCAAGACAACTTTTTTTTTTTTTTTTTTTTTTTTTAGATTTTCCCCTTAAGTAGTGACAGAGGTCTTCAATAATAGAGTAAAAATTGTCTTGGTTGCAACCCAAATCATAATTCTAGGTGGCTAAGTAAATTTTTATTTTGGTAAAATGATTAACAAGGGACCTTGGTAGTTAGAGGCAAAATTATCAGGGAAGCGATTTTTGTCTAGTTACGTTGAATTTTAAGATTTCAATGCAAAACTATCCTTTGAGTCCTACTGAATACGCTGGAAGCAATTTAATACATTTGAGTACTTTTAGAGGGCAGAACAGTGGCAATAGGGTACTTTGAGTATGAGTTAAGAATTTTGAGCGGATTTTTTTCAAAACTACAATTTTGGAACAAAAAGCTTCAAATCCCCATGATTTCCTGTTTGATTTACCATTGTAGGACTTTTTAACCCAAAATTTGCATAGAACACTCCTCTATGCTCTACTGTGACTAAAGGTCCCTTTACCCCTATGGAATGCTTACAAGTAAGTATCTACCTAACACGAGAAAATCTTCCAACCATTAAGTATACTTCAGTTTCGGCACTTAAGGTCACCTCATAGCCTATCATTTCACCATTCATTATAGAGTTGGATGACAGTTTTTTCATGGCTGTGAGTCCATTGATAAATCCAGTTATCTCTTCAGTAAACTCAGCAGTGATACGAATCCTTTTTATTGGAATAATTTAAGTACCTGGATGAGTCAAGGACTGATTCCTTATACAAGTATCACAATTTGCTATGGTTTCTTATCTGCTAACTGTACTTCTTAGCAAAGTACTAATAATGAGGAAGCCTACAGTTCAAAACACGACCGTCACTGGACTAAATCGTGCCAGAATTTCTAAGAAAAGCCAGGGAAAAAAACCTAAAAATTGGTTTGTTTGAACCATGATTCAAGCTGACACTGAAATTGACTACTTAATCACTAATTACAGTAAGATTTTGTTCCCCATCTAAAAATAAAAATTAAGGGGAAACCATCAAAGTTTCAATTACATATATTTAATAAGCGTGTTGAGGTGATTCTCGAGTGATATTTGGAGTAAAATCGTTCAGAAATTGACTGCTTGAAGTTTCCGTCAAAAAGCTCATGAAATGAAATTTAAGCATCTTGATGGAAAAACCAAGAAGTCACATTAATTGGTTCTTCCCAGTTTTTTACATTATCTATTTTCATTATTAACGTAAAATTGGTAAACTTTAGGGGAGTAAAAAAAATAACCAAAAATTGTATCAATATCACGCTGAAGAGCCAAAATCTCTTCCTCTTGCGTGCACATTTTAGACTGTTTGGTCGTGGTTTTGGGTGCCCATGCATGTCAAATATGTTTCTACTGACCAATGATCCAATTATTGAACTTTCATGGTGAAACAGGATTACTGGATCAAGGATTACTTCACTCCAGAATCACCTTGGCCTGAACAGTAATGAAAAAAAATTTAAGTACCTAATACCAAAATCAACATTTCAGCGGTTTAAAAACATACATCAGAATTACACTTGTATTTTAAAAATCTAACTTTTAAAAAATTGGATGTCTTTGAAATTTCACAAACGAGTTTGTGATTTTGTTCTAGTGGTTTTGGTCATGCTAAATGAGGTAAAAATAACTATAAAATATAAAGTAGTTATAAACGAGTCCAAAAAATATTCAGAAATTGACAATACATGGATAGAGTTCTTTAATTTGAAAAATGGAGTTTCAGAGAAAAAATGAGCTCTCAAATTTCAGATGATTCAAACTGAGTAATAAGTGAGTGTGAGCATTAGATTTTACATGGACTTAAAAGAAAGATTTCAGACACAGAGTCTGAAAATTTCCCTAGGGCAGTTATAGAAGAATAAAAAGTTTGGGGTTCATTATAAAGTTGAAACAAAATTTCCAAAGTGAGTTCCTAGAGGGGCATAGAACTGCAATGCTGAACAAAATTTATTGTTTCACAAACTATTAAAAAGAATTTAGAGCATTAATCACCTTAAGGGCATGTTTTGTATACTTAAATTTTTCCCACTTTCACACAATAAATATTTCATTTCAAAATTCACGACAAGACCGCAAAGTACAGCACATATGAGTAAAAATATTAAGTACTCTCAAAATAGAGGAAAGAAAACACAGAATATCCTAGGCGCCTTTGAAAGTTGCAATGGCTGAACTTCCTCTTTTACTTAGAAAAACTTGTATGCACACACAGTGCCATCCTGTCACCTCAATTTAAGCATAATAAGTGAATGATTAAATACCCTCTGGTTCACCGAGAAAAATTAGAATTAAGTCTTTTTAAGTTAAATGGCCCTAAATAGAAATAGCATTCTCACTCTTCAAAAGTTGCATTGCCAGCGTAATGCTAAATATCATCAGAGCTAGTCCTTTTGGAATGAAACATCAAAAACGAAGGTGTCATCAAAGAAAAACAAACAATCGCTTGACGAAGCAACGGAGTAAAATACTAAGCACAGATACGATTCAATCTTAAAAGAAATCACAATGATTAATCATGGACGAGAGTCCTGTTGTCAGATTTCAGAACTATAAATCACAAAAAAGACACTTTTAGATGTAGACGGACCACTGAAGAGGATGAAAATTAAGAATTACAGCCAACGGTCCATTTTTCTCATGAAAATTTCATGTTGAACACGTTGATTTTGATGAGGTTGATATTGCGGTTCTTAATTTTAGGCCCTGTCTAATTATCCATTTTAAAAATTTGTAAAATGTTGAGATGAGGAGACAAGGAGAATTTACAGTTCTTTAATTTAAGTCAATGCAATAATGATGCAAGAACTCTACTTTTTTTGGAGATACATTTTAATGATTCTCCAATACATTTTACCGTATTGCTGTACTGAGGAAAAACACTTTATGAACATTCAAGATGCTAAATTTTCTTTGATAAAGTGCTTATTTTTTAGAAGAGTTGAGAATATTTTCTCTTGAAATTTTCAGATAATTTGAATATGATTGCTTATAAAATTCTCCACAAAATTCACACATTACCCTCATAGAGAAAAAAAAGGAGGTGTTTGCATTTCGGGCATCTTGGAATATTTTGATGACTTGATGACGTAGGTGGGTACAGCTAGGTACAGGGACGTCCCCTTCACACTGTACCCACCTACGTCATCAAGTCATCAAAAAATTCCAAGATGCCCGAAATGCAAACACCTCCTTTTTTTTCTCTATGCATTACCCTGAACGTTCATACTTTAACGAATAAAATTTGGCAACATCTGAAGGCTCGTACAACGTTCTTCCTTAGTACAGCAGCATAGGAGAGCAACGTACTCCTATCCTATAAGGCAGATCATATAAGCTCAGTTATAAAAAGGCATTTTTCCTGAGATACTGAGGAACTTCCAAGCCATGGTATTTTTTTAAAAATATATATATATTAAAAAAAAAAAAAAAAATCAGAGAAAAATTTCTTGCTGAGTTGCCAGAAAGCTTCAACATGTTGGACAGATAATTTTTATTCCAATATACCAACTTTACCAAGAAGTAGTTGTAAATTGTGGAAAAAAAAACTGGGCTCTACAAAATTTCAGAAATTCACTTCGCCATTTGAATGTTTTTTTTTTTTTTTTTTTTTTTTTTTTTTTTAAATTTAACAATTTAGTTTTGGTTTCAAAAATAAGGGTAGTCTATTGTGCCTGGATTAGAGTTACATCCTGTTGGACGAACAAAAATTTATTTCCATTTCATCACGATTGAAAAAGATTAGTGACTAATGTGGCTACTAAAACAAATATCAGCGCCTTCATGAAAGGTTTGCCCTTAAATCTTCTTCGTAGCTTAATGATTGTTCAAGTATTTCATAAATGCATTGAAAAGGATCATCAATTCCTCAGGGAAAAAAAAATTACCAGAAAAAAATTGTTGGCGGATTATTTTACTAAAGTTGCTAAATTTCTATCTGAATCATGTGAGGGAATACAAAAACCTTTCTCTTAAAACTTCTCAGCATTTTTATTCAACCTCTTACAATTAATATAGGCTGAAAAAATTTGGGCCTCCTAGCAACCTACATTTAGGGGCAGAAAGTTTTGCAAAAAAAAAAATAAAATAAAAAATATAAATCTGTCTTTACAAAAGTATGGAGCAATCTGAATACATGACCAAAGAAAAACATCAGAATACACCTCCACAAAAATGAGTTGTAAAATGAAAAGGTCATCATTCGAGTTGTCTGTTCTGGTTCTGAATTTATAAGAGATCATTCTGCACAAGATTTGTGACATAAATAAAAAAGAATAACTCCATAATTCATCTTTTTAAACAAACTCAAATGGGAAAGAATTGCCATTAATAACAGGAATATTTTCGGTGACAGATAGGTCTATAATCCCTTGAATAGGAAAATTAACCAGCATAGAAAGTCCTCATAGAAATTGAAAGAGCAGTTGAGACTTCAAGGAATTTACTTTATACTGGAGTTGTTGTAGAGACTTTTACAAAAGATTACAGAAAAGCCTATTCAAGTTAAAATTAGACCGCATGAAACAGAAAGGAACCAAGCCACATCAACTATTGCCAAAGGACCCTGCACACTCCTTATGGGAAAGTGCACCACAATCGATTTTTTATTTTTTTTACTGAATTCAATTCATCTTAAGATGCTAATCAAAAGTCATCATTGCGCCAACTTTCTACAATGCACCGTTTCCGCACAATACCCCTGGAACGTTTTAATTATTCAGCGATGAAGAGTCAGAAAAATTCCTCATTTCAGCACTTGTGTGAATGGTTGGCTGTGTGTCAACAAGGAAATCAGGGGAACTCTAGCACTGAGCGGCAGTCTTATCTCGAATTCTGCACGCCTTTTTGCTTGACTATCCAAATTAGATTCGTGAGGAGCATTAGAACAAGAAAGTTGGAGAAAAACAGTGAACGTTAAATGCACAAGAGCGGGAGGGAGATAGCCCCGGAGTAGATAGGAATAGATAAGAAGACAGACACTCGCTAAGTTTTTCCTTATTCACATCAGCCCTGTTCTCGAATGCCTTATTCTTTTTGACTCTTTATTGCCAAATAATTGATACATTCCACGCGGATTGTGCGAAAACGGTGCATCGTAGAAAGTTGGCGCAATGATCACTTTCGATCAGCATCTTGAGATAAATTGAACGGGGTAAAAAAATTGAAAATCGATCGAGGTGCATTTTCTCTTTAGGAGGGTGCAGGATCCATTAATTGGGCGATTTAATTTTTTAACAAGAAACGTTTTCTGCATAGTACAAAGTTAACTCCTTGAAATTTTCAAAGGAATCTGCACAAACGTTTCCTTGTAAAAATTAAATTGCCCAGATGAATTTGGCGATAGCCAATGTGGCTTGGATCCTTCCTGCTAAAAGCGGTCCAATTGTGCTTAAGACTTGCAAATTTTTTATTAAAAAATTAATGACAAATTTTGAGAAATAAGAAAGCATTTTGGATGTAGCTTTTACAAGAATCTATCTTTCAAGTAAGTTTTTAATATTTGCTGTCACTTCTGATCTTTGTCCTTGATGGAAAATTTGTGGTGAAACTGCAGAAATGCGTAATTGGTTTGCGTCTTAGCAGATTTCCTGTCACACTTTGTTTTTTGTGAGGAAAACTACAAAACGTCATTTCCTAAAAACTTTGGTTATTTTTCTTCTCTAAATGAAGAATATTCTATGAAAATTTCAAGCCATAATGTTAGTTTAGTGGCCTTATAATTATTAAATAGAAGCAAAGATTTTGAAACGCCATGATCAAAATACACATTTCAGCAGTTTCAACCTCGAAATATGACAGGTTACTAAAACTCAGTGTACATTTTAGCATACATGCAACATTTCAACTTTGGTCATCAAAAAACTCGAATTTAAAGCAAAATGTATAACCCTCTCAGCAGCATCATTTTTTGCCATAGAGTCCTTCAGGATTCATTTTTTTTTTTTTTTTTTAAAAAAAAAAAAAAAAAAATGTGTTTACAAAAGCTTGCTGTTAACAAAAGAATATCCACACCCTCTGAGCAAGCTGAATTGAACTGACAAAATAATATAGAGCATTGGTCACTAATTAAAAGAAGGTGCAAGAGTTGCGACAAAAAAAAACCTAAAACTTTGTCTAAATAATCGAGACAGTAAAATGAGTCACTTACAGCAGCACACAAATTAATACATAAAAATGAACTCTAAAAAACTAAGAAAATTAGGAATGCGGAAACTAGGGCTTGTTAAAATTACAACTATAAAAAAACAGACAAAGTGACAGAGAGCAATCTAAGCGGACAATTATACTGGCTATAAATTGCTGGCCAACTACATTAAGACAAAGAGTACTCACCTGGTTTGGAATTATCTGCATTAGGAATCCTGGCACAGGATCTGAGCAGACCTCTGATCCAACCCTATTATTTTGGCTCGCGAAATGGTGCGTAGCTATGGCTATCATTGGTAACATTTATAACACTGCACTGAATGTTAGACCTCTATGCCTGCATTTGAAGGTGGCAGACTTTTCCTAGCTAATCGGTTTTCCGCCTCCAGGTTAGGATTTTGCGACCTAGTGTGCCAAACTAGAACCTGAAGAAATAAAAACGTGGCTCCTGTTAGAAATATCATTCACATAGATTTACTCCACTAGATCCTTTTATTGTTGAATTATAATTATTAGGATTTCGACTGTTCCTCAAGTCTTCCAGGACAAAATTTGGCCCATACATTGCAAATTTGATCAAATGTTCAACATTTTACAGCAAAAATGGATTGTTATGGTAATTACAAATTTTTCGCAGCCTTGTAAAATGTTCACATAATACAAGAAAAAACCTCCAAAATGCTTCAAGGGACCTTCCATCAAAGACTCTTTTCATTACGTTCTCTATTTGCTGTTGGCACACTCTGAAAAGAAGGTTTTATGGCGAGAGATACCTGACAATGAAGAAAATTTAAATATGATTTGATTTCAATGCTTGTCTTTCCTTCTCATATTGTTTAAAATTTCAACATAAGGTGAAATTTCTATATGCTCCCAAAAATTTGACTGTAGAAATAAAAGTAATACCTTAGTGCAATTGTCAGCAAGAGGTTCAAGTTCCTCCGGTGTAGTTACTTGACTGAGAATGTCCGTCTCAAGATAACCACGTTCCACTTGGTATGAGAATTTGACACTAGGCTTTTCTAGGAGAATTCGCAAGTTGATAGCAAAGCCTGCCATGTCAATTGGGAACTTCCGCTCAGGACGCCATGCACTGTTCCAACTGCTCACACGACCTGTGTCAGGGTCAATATTTGGTTTCTCTACCATGAGCCCACCCACCAGGCCCACAGGCCAGACACTAGCCTTCCGTGTGTATCTCATCTGCAAAGGAGTTAAAATTCTTAAATTAGACCACCAAATATCCTTGATAATTATCTGAAAAGCACCTTCTTCTTGACAAAGATTATTTTCAGAGAAACGGCAGACAGCGAATAACTAAGGCCGTGGTTGGACTCAGTACTAAAAAATATGTGGGAAATACTAGTTACAAGCCCAGTGTACTTTTCTATGCAAACTTGTGCCACCCTTAGTTACAAAGGGTATTAAAAAGGCAATCAAAAGATCACATGTCTTGAGGTGGCGCATCACATTTAGGGAGAATTTTTAGAAGTAGTCTCCAAAAAAAACCACCAAGTCGCGCTGCTAAAATCTGGCACAGAAATCGGCGATTATTATGATGATAGAGCAGGAATATTACACTCTAAGGCGTATAAGTTCCAGCATCCGAAATATAAAATGTGTAAAATGTGAAAAAAGCTTTGAAAGTTCAATACATAATAAAGTCTAGGAATTGATCCTCGTTTCTCGTTTCTCATATGGAATGCATATGAAAGCAAAAGAGATAGCTCATGATGAGAGCGGGATATCTGTTACTGCTGTAAGCAATTACTCCTTTTCTCTGGGATCAAGTTTCAAAGCTTCAGAATTATACATCTTATAAGTTTTGAAGTCCATGAGAAGAAAAATATTTCAGCTACAACTCCTTACTTTTCAATTTTTAAAGATCTACCTCTCTTTAAATCTTGCATTAACTCAGGAATGCATCGTTGACACTGGATAATGTATGGTAAACACTGGTTTAAGAGGCTTACTAGAGCCATTGTAGAGTGTCATTTGGACCTATTTCAGTCAAACGGAACTGTGTGCATTAGTATGTGAGCCCTGTTATGCTTACACTCTAATGGGTGTAAGGGCTCATGTCTTAAAATGCACATAGTTCCGTTTGACAGAAATACGTCCATTTGATTGATGTAGACTCTGGTTTTTCTTGTGAGGGGGTAATTTAACTCTTCAGTAACCAATGCTACATAAAAACGTTAGTATCTTAGTTAGGAGTTAATTTCGGTAAGTTTTGTTGTGCAAATCATGGTCTACATGAAATTTTGAGGTGGAAACATGAAGTAGAATGCTTAATTTTGTAACTTGTCAAGCAGTCCATTCTAACTCCTGAACCCTTTTAATCCTAATATACACCGAGAAAAAAAAAACACAGTTATTCTACCGTTACAACGGTAGTAATGTCACACGGGATTCCACGGTAGTAGAACCATGAATTTTGATTCTTGTAATGATGAGCACGGTGGTATGACCGTGTTCACTGTAATCTTACTGTGGGCACAGACATACTATTATATGAGCATGGTTATGCTACTGTGTTCATCAATAATATTACCAAAATCCACCGTTTCAATACCGTGGTTTTCCGTGTGACATTATTACCGTGATAACTGTCGAATAACCATGTTGTTTTTCTCCGTGTAGTTAAGCAATTTTAGATAAGTAATTTTGATAGCTAATTTTGATAAAGCTAGTAATTTTGAAAAGCAGAAGCTTTTCCTCTTAAAGATTAGTAATCATTAGTTCATCAATGTTCCTATTGACGAAAACTTACCTCATTGAGTATTTGAACAGTGTAGGTGTTGTCATCATCCGCAAAGTACACTACACCTCTATCTACAGCTGGTTTCTTGCTTTCCCGCAGCCAAGTAAGTCCTGCATTTCTCTGTGTGACTCCTCTTGGCTTCCGCCATCTTTGTTCCTGAAAACCAAGTTAAATTAGTCTCCCTGTTAAACACAGATTAAACATGGAACATGGAAACAAACGGATTATATGACAAAACTTTGTTAAAATCTTTTAATTTCACTTTGAAATCCTGAGTACAAATTTGCTTCAAGTTAATTGAACTTTTTTTAAAGGTGGGTAAAAATAAAATAGCATTCATAATAATCAATTTTAAAGATTGTAACAAAAATACGAAAATAAATAAAACCAAGTCCACTTATTTGAATAAATAAAACTGCCAGCACCAACATTCAAATAAGACTTAGGTAAAATGTATAAGTTCTAGTAACTTTTTCGATAATAATTACACCACATATATGAGCTTTGAGAACTAAAACACCCCTTATAAATAATATAAACAGTAGATATCCATAAAAATAAGAAACACAAGAAGGATTCTTGAAAAAACAAGAATCAAAATAAAACATAAAACTAAAATTAAAGGGTCAAACACTATAACTGACAACATTATATTTTTTGGACTGGAAAAATGCCATTTCAGGCTCCAGATGTGACAAAACAGCTCAAGCTTGACTAATTTTTGAACGTATTTGTAAAATGTAATGATTTCATCAGGAGAAAACACTTAAAACCACATAAATATTCAACTTTTGACAAAACCCAGTTTTCGTCAAGACGACTAACTTGTTTTTTTACCAAGATCTCAATTTTGACTGCGCACGATGACCAAGGCATCAGTTAATTGGATAAGTGGGCAGATAGTTGAGGTATTACTATGGATCATAACAACATATCAGAAAAGCGGATATAAAATAAAAATGGTGAAACGCACTTTTTGTTTCAGTTTCCATTGAGGTGGTGTCATATTAATAAGATGAGTATAGTTTAGATTTGAGTTCTTCAGGAGATTACTGACTAGAGCAGTCTTTTGTTTTGAATCTTCCACGATAATCCAATGCAAATTTTGAACCAACATGAATGTTTGAGATAACCTGTAATAAAAATAGATCTCCAGATAAAATGAGACTCAAGAGAAAAAATCAGAGTACTGAGAAATTGAAAACAAATTGGCGGCAAGGAATCCTTGTCTGATGCGTGAACATGAACAAACCTAGTTTACACTAGATCGACAAATTTTAGAGAAGTTCTAAAATACCGTTAACCCATTTTACATCATGATAACATTCAGAGCTTTCCTTTCTTTGTTGCATATGTATTAGATGAGACAAAATGCTGACAAGGGTGGGCATATGACTTTTCTGTCAGTTTTTCGTAAGCTATTGACGCGGTTTCGTTAGAAAGTGGAGACAATAAAAATACCCTTGCCAATAACTAGAACTAGCATCAGATACTTAAGTTGGCAATTTATGTCTGACTGTCACTCGCAGTAGACAAATTTAGCAATATCTCCTCAAAGGAAGGTATTTGTTTTTGGAACTTGTGTACAATGGCAGCACAGCGTCTTTGTCACATTCAGTCAATCCTCAATCTTTCTTTTTTTTCTTCAATTAGCCCACAAGGCCTAATCCCATCTGTCCTAACAGCCTCCCTAATAAACCCTAATTTCATGTGTGTGTGTGTATATATATATGGGCAATTCTACGAAAACAGTCCAATTCCAGTCATGATCGTTTCATTTGTAAATTGTGTGATAGTAAGTCTCACATTTCACCAAATCTGATAGAAAATGAGTGTTTTTAACAAATTATAACCATTACAATTGTGTAAATTGATGGATTAAGGTGATTCGATGGAGGCCATTTTTCATGTCGGAGCGACGTGCGATACATCGCATCGATTTGTTCCATAATTTCAGCTACTTGTCATTTTTTTCGAATTTTGAGATTGCACTTCTGTTGTCATAAGACTTAAGAACTCATGTACCAAATTTGACAAAGAAATTCAACGTAATAAAGGCGTGGTTTTTTTAGAAGAAAAATATCGCATTCAATACTGATATCGAAACTGCACTCGAATGAAAATGAAAATGAAAATTTGTTAACCAAAACTTTAGTTCCAATTTGATCCAAGTGACAATATAGGACCTGGAGGGGGGAAGGGGATCCTAAAAGTGTAGGAAGCATAAAGTAATATATTGATGTTAATAGAATGACCGAAAATTTTAAATGGATGTTTTTTCAGTTATGAAACAACTGCCAATTTTAAAAGTTCATAATTTTTGAACAAGGTATAAAATTTTTTGGGGGCGTAGGTTCAGATATTTAAGAAAAAAACAAATATGTAGATATTTTATCCTTAAATCAAGAAACATTTTTTTGTTTTCCGAGAAAAAAGCTGAAAAATCTGCAAAAATTAGAAAACATTTGCTGTTTTATGATGAACATATACACTGGGTCACTATTTTTTGTTGTTTCACTTCTTCATAGGACCTAACAGTATATAAAAAAAACAAAACTGCATATTTGACCATTATTGTCTTTCTGATGGACCAAAATAATCGAAGTGACGGTCGTGACATCCGGAATCTATTTTTAAAACAATTTCTCATAAAAAGAAATGCCTGAAAAAAAAGGTACTCATATAGAATTTTTAAGCCTGATACTATGCTGAGCTAAGAAAAAAAAAACTCTCAATCCAAAATAACATAGTTGAATTTTTAGTTTTTGAGAGGTCAAATTGGACAGTTTTCGTAGAATTACTCATTAAAAAAAAAAATAACACTAAGAAGTGGCCCGAACTGTACGTAACAAGGTGGAGAATTGGTGCTGGGTCCACACCATTTCGCTGGGAAAACAAAGCCAAGAAGTTCCAAAAATTATAATTAGAGTCAAAATTAAATTTTTTTGAACTCTAATGCGTACCAGTACAAAACTGGTTACATACAGTTCAGGCCACTTCTTAGTGTTTTTTTTTTCATTTGTATGCCCAGTTGGGGATATGTGTTTTCTCCCGTTCGAGAGCGGGCAGTTGAGTCTAGATGTGTTCAAATCTCCAAGCAGCCTGATAATCAATTTTTCGGGTTTTCCTTGTTTTGTTATGAGAGTTGTTCAGCAGCGACAGTAGATGTAACGTGGATCACACTTTTGTGTCATGCCTCGGGTCATATCCATGACAGTGTTTTAATGCCGTCTTGGATTTTGCGGGCCGAGTGTGATCTGCTGATGATCTGTAAAAAGGCCCAAACCGGTATAGATCTCTCTGCGTGACTCCAACTTAATATTCCAATGCAAACTGCCTGAGCTGAACACTCTCCCCCTCAGTTTAGTACTGGTACGCATTAGAGTTCAAAAAAATTTGATTTTAACTCTAATTATAATTTTTAGAGCTTCTTGGCTTTGTTTTCCCTGCAAAATGGTGTGGACCCAGCACCATTTCTCCACCTTGTTATAAAACAAATTGCACAGCATCAGCACAGACACTTGTAAGTGGAGAGTGAACATCACCCAACTTATCCTGATCCGGTACACTCACAACATCACAGTACATGACAAACCTGGTCTTTTCATCAAGCCTTTGCCAATTTCTTATGGAGAAATACATTGTAAACGATGAAGAGACCAGGTTTTTCATGTACTGTGATGTCACGAATGTACCGGATTCGTTTCCGCTTAAAAGTGACCGTTTTGAAAATTCAAATTCTGGGGCGTTTTGTAGTTGATTTTTTGGGGGATTTTCAAAGGGGTAGTCAAAAACTGAGGGAAAATTCCTGTGACATTAGTTTTTTCGATACAAACAATAAAAAAAAATTGTGCGACAGGACCATTAAAAGTAACCATATTTACCTAGTGAGCTCAGCTTTCTGAACAGGTCTTGCGAATGTTGGAGTAATGACGTATACAACAGGGAGAGCAGGATCCCATTGCGCACAAGTAGACCTCTTGTCCAACTGCACTTGACTAAGCTGCTTCACCAAAGATTGTGAATCTTCCAACTGTTCGAGCCGACACAAAGAAAAATTAGTGAGTTTCTTTTTTTTTCAAGGAATCGGAAAAACATGTAAAACAAAAACAGACAAATAAACCATCCAATAGAAGCAATTGAATGGCCAGAATAAAAAAATTACAGAAACTAGGGAATAAGTGCTCTCAGTAAAATAGAGTGTATGAGAACTATTCTGGCCAAAATTATGTACCCTTCTCAACGCTGTTAAGACAGCAACTTCCTTTTAATCTAAAACATAAAAGAATACAGAGTCTTCGTTGCATTTCGTCTCGAATTCTCTCAACAATAGATTCCATTTGCAATATTAGCGAGAATTGATGAATATCAAGCAACGTTACAAGACCAGACTTTTAGAAAACTCATTGTTGACTTACCTCAAGCCGAAGCCTGTCGAGAGTTGCTTGCATTCCATCGAACTTCTCCAAGTCTGTGAAAAATATTAATGATGATTCAGTACATTTATCCATTTATTGAGAGACTCTCATAACATCAATGATTCTAGTTTCGTACAGGATGCCAGCTAATGTAGACCAAATTTGAGGTGCAAAATATCAAATAGTCATTGGCTAACTCTCAAGTTGTATAATGTGCAAACGACATGACCTCCCTTTCCCTCTTGCTGCGGTAAGTCGCGAGGGTGGCAAAATCTTGACGACGGCAGAAATACAAATTTAGCCATGATTACAGTTTGCTTAAACTGAACATAAGTTTTTAAACAATTTGAAGGGGGCAAAACTTGAACAATGTATGTGTGTAAACTTGAAAGGAAATGGGGTTCTTTAACGACAGACAAAACCTAACCTTTTCATCCTGCTCACGCCCCTCACGAAAACGACCACTCATTACTATGCTCTTTAAAACTTATGAATTGAAGTCCATGACAGTGGGTAATTAAAGGAGTAATTGTGACTAGAGTGTCAGTTGCAAAGCTGGGAGGCGGGTCCCCATTACATTGCAATGTGGAAGAAGAAATATAGGAGCAGAATATCTTAGAAAAGTTACCTTTGGTCCTCAGGTACAATACACATAAAATTAGCGCCGTAATTAGGATTAAAACGGACTTTTTTCTGACTATCATATCTGAACATGTGTGCATTATCCTAACACACTCCGAGGAGAGGGAAGTGATCATTTTGATTGACTTGGAGAGGTAAAATCGCACTGAGTAACATGGTAAATTAACTCATCCGAGGGTTAGAAAATTATCCTTGATGTCACAACCGTATATTTAAACGTCATGGCTCATGGACCCCCATGATCCATGAAAATTACCATTATCAATCACCACAAAAAATTAATTTCTTCGAAGAGAGCTGTTTACTATCATTTCCGAACACACACAAACACAGGCACTAGCACTAACACAGACTCAAATATAGGTTATGAGCACTGTTGCCTATACATTTAAAAAAAAAGATTAAAGGGGCCATATTTGATTCAGCATACATTTTATTGATTAAGTCAAAAAATTATGTAGTGGGAGATTGATTTTTTTAGCTTTTTTGGGAAGTAAACTGTATTCGGAGATATTTTGAAAACAAAGCTTCAAAATTAGAAAAATAATTCATGAAAAAAATGTGGCTCCGGCAACGATGTCATAAGATGAATGATGCTTCTTCGGAGTTACCTGTCTGCATCGGCAATGTTTACAGTTACATCTACATCGGCAATAACAATTTAGGCTTGACGCTTGAAAATTCTGAATTTCAGCCGGGATTAATTTTCATTCTATCTTAGTCTTAACTCCCAGTTAATATCAAATGTAGTCCTCAGTTTTAATTATTCCACTCGCATTAGATTAGTGACTTCTTGCTTCTTGTTCCAACATGAGTTTTTCCAGTGATGAGGTTAACTTTTTGGTTTATCGATACCTTCAAGAATCAGGTAAGCTTGTAATATATTGCAGCTTACAAAATTAAATTAGGATTTACGTATTGCAGCAGTATTTACTGTTCGTAGGAATGTGCTGTAATAAAATTCCGTAATCTAACATTCTACAATCTTATGACCTCCAGCCCGTGCCTGGAAGATCAGGAGGGTAACGCTCTCTCTTTCCTAAAAATGTTGTTACCAGAATGGCGCCTCATTATCATACCAATGTATGCTCCAAATCAATTCATAATTCCTGCAAGTATATCGATTACTCTTTTAAGGCTGATCTGTCCACCTCTGGATCAGTTCAAATACGACCCTACCATAGTACAAGGGGTGATACCTAGGCTCCGTCAAACGACACCCACTGCTGCGGTCCACCCCATTTTAGAAGAATGCATGCATCGCTCTTCCGAGGTGGGTTTCGTGCAATCCTAACTTAAAGCTAAACCATTTGGGATACGCTAATAACTTAATTCTTTGGGCACTGTGGATTCAAAAGAGGCTCTTTATGAAAGAAACATTAACATCATCAACGGTAATGAATTGGGTGCATTTCTAAGGTAAAGAATCCTCCAAAAATATTATCAACCCCTCAAGAAGTGTTATATGGCACGTTCGAAAGTATTAAGGTCCATGATGCTGTTGACTACCTCTGGGAGGTAGCGATAACAGTTTAGGTGCAGTGTATGACATTAGTTATTAAGTTATTTCACTTTGTATCCGTTCGTAATACCTACCTGAGTCTTGGACAATTTTTGATGACATAGAGTGATGATATTCTCCATTTCTTTGCGAAGTTTTGTATATCTATTAATCCACCTACCTCTCAGTTTTTTCATGGTTCTTTCCTAAGGCTTAATTGATCATTAATATATTTATTTTTCACCGATAGGTTTTCAGCATTCAGCATATACATTTGGAATTGAATCTCACATTGCTCAATCAAATATCAATGGATCCCTTGTACCTCCTGCTGCATTGGTGAGCCTCCTTCAAAAAGGACTGCTCTATACAGAAGCAGAAATCACTCTTGGCGAGGTAAAATTTATATTAATATTTCTTCAGTGATCAGCATACCTCAGAGATGCTTTTAAGATTCACAATTTTTAGGAGTTAGTTCACTACAGTAGGTTGTAAGCATAGCATTTTAATAGCTGTTAAATGGCAAGTCCCTATGTCAGATTGACCTCAGGAAACAGGACCCCAGTATTGTGAATATCCGATAAGGCTGTCGCATGATTCAGGATTCATGATGATATATGATTTTTTGGCCTTGAAAGGAGATGTGTCGTGAGTAAATTTTTCTTCAATCATATTTTTAGAATAGTAACAAATGCAGGTTAATGTAGAATCTTTCTTTAGATTTTAAATGAATATCTTTTTCTCTTATACATAGGATGGCACAGAACAAAGGCTAGTGGAGAGTCTTTCGCTGATTGATGCAGTTATGCCAGATGTAGTTGCAAGCCGTCAAAATCAAGTTAATCAACAGAAGATTCAGAACCCATCACAAATCATCAAAAATGAGCCACAGGAAACAAATGGAGAAGAAGGTAACCAAGGTCTGGAGTCCTTTAATTTTTACTTCAGTATTTTTGATTTTTTATTCAAGACCTTAGAAGAATTTATAGCGTTTAATCTATAAAACAAATTTGACATTGAAAATGCATTCATATACTCAGCATATTACCTGAGACAAATTTTGCAGGAGGAAGCAATTCGAATTTTACTCGCATTTTCGTTGAAAAAAAAACCATACTCTGAAAACCCCTTGATCAAGATATGCCTTTACTTCAGTCCGTTATGCAATTGGTTTATTCTATACAAGAAATGGCCCCAGCCAACTGTGTGGACTCAATTTTGATATAATCTCATAAAAATTAAAATGAACTCATCAGAAATACCTTAACAAATTTATTAGAAATGCACAAAGTTGGATTTTTAAAGAAAATGAGCTAGGATCAGTTTTGAATGCAATCAGTCTTAAATTTTCTTTCGTGACAAATTCAAAGTCAAGAAACAATATTTCGAACATGAATATAGTTGTTAAATTTTGTCCTTAATATTGAGTCTTAGGAAGAATAAAACTTCAAAACCCTTTCTCTCAGTTCAAACTCGATGCAACTCCTAAGCGTATAATTTGTGTGGTTTATGTCACGTATTTCCAATATCACGGTGTTCAGGAGGTGAATAATATCATTTGTTTAGTTTTCAATAGAAAAGATGTCAAAGTATTGCAAAGAATAAGTTGCGAGTCGTCTTTTTAATTCCTGTGCCAAAAGAGGCTGTAAAGTTGCACTTCTTACTGTAAAAAAATTTAGCATCAAATCTGTGGAAGATAAATCAAGATTAATTATCCCAAAAGCTCTATTTTTTTTAATTACTAATTCTACATTGTCATAGCCTCTGCTTGGCTTATGATGCCTTGTGCAATTTTTGTGCCGGAACATTTGTTAAATTCTCCTCCAAGCTGTTGCACCTAATGCTCAACTTTGAGATCCTTGGTACCAAGGTCCCTTCCTGTGAATGGTCACATTTACTTTTAATTTCCGTGTACATCTGAGTCTTGAAACACAATATTTAACGATTGATTTGTTTTCAGTTCCAGTCACCTGTAGCGCACCACCAGAAAACATGGAAGTTGACTCCAGTATTGAGATCCCTCGTAGCAAAGCAACTGTGTTGCGGGGGCATGAGTCGGAAGTATTCATCTGTGCTTGGAATCCCACCACAGACCTATTGGCTTCAGGGTACGTGTAGCTCTGCCTCAATCAAGCTTTCTATCCCTGCGTGGTTCAGATTTTAAATTTGTCCTTAATGTGATTCGTCGGAAATGATCATATTAGTCAATGAGCCACTGGGCAGGGTATTAAAATACTAGTATCAAGTGGTATTAAAATACCGCTAGACTCGATTTCTTATCTAAATTTCATGGAATACTTGTTGAATGTACTGAGTGTGTTCAGGTGAAATCATCAGAGAAAGATTCTTTGCTTACACTGGAATTGGGGAATTTAAACTTCCGGTCTCCGTTAGGTATAGTTAAAAATTAAAACCAAAATGGGTCAAATTGGCGGGGGGAAAAACAGAGGGAATTGAGCAGTTCTACAAGTTTCATTTTTTTGAACTAAAAAGTAACTAGTTGCCTTGAGTTTTCAGAATGGTATGGCAAGTATGTACAATCCATCAGATCCTTTTAGCGGTATTTATCACTTATCTTTTTTTGTAAACAGAGGCTGTACCTTAGCATTGCTTGCACGCAAGTGAAATTAACTGATTTTTTTTTTTTTTTTAACAGATCGGGAGATAGCACAGCACGCATCTGGGACATGGGAGACGGCAGCAATGCACCCAATCAACTGGTTCTGAGGCATTGTATCCAGAAAGGTGGAACTGAAGTCCCCAGCAATAAAGATGTTACTTCGCTTGACTGGAATGTAAGATTAATCTCATGATTTCAGCACCAAGTCAACGATTTGACAAAGTGCTAACTGGGGCGCAGGAGGTTTATGGCGCTCCCATTTTAAAAATCCCTTTTTCCTCTGAAATTTCAGAGTGATACCCTCTCAATGTTTCTGTACATATTAGTTGCTGCGATTTATCCCCCCCTCCTCCCCTAATAATTTGCTGAACTTCTTACTTTGCACACAACCAGCCTGGTCGCACAGTCAAAATGTTTTTGCACACCTAAATGCGTGTTCTATTATTAGTTGGAACTAAGACACCTTGTGAAGTCAAATCTTTCTAAATGCATGTTAGGAGTGTATTTTCCGGAGAAAATACACTATTGTACATTGTTTCTTTACATTATATTTTTTCACACACTAATGAAATCCTTTTGCTTTGCAGTGTGACGGAAGCTTGTTAGCAACTGGATCTTATGATGGCTACGCTCGAATTTGGATGAATGATGGAAGACTTGCCAGCACTCTCGGTCAGCACAAAGGACCTATTTTTGCGCTCAAATGGAACAAAAGAGGCAATTATATTCTCAGTGCCGGTGTTGATAAGGTAATATTGTAAAGTTATGTTTTATGTTTCAAGAAGATGAGTCAATGCTTAAGCAAAAAGGATAAGTGAAAAACGCAAAGCGAAGTGAAGATGAGTTTGTGACAAATGAAGATTCTAGTGATGGTGAGAAAAGAGAGACAGGAGTGAAGCCATTCCGTCACAAGTTCTAACATCCTAACTTTAAGTTGAATTAATTGTCCATTTTCTTGACTGGGCCCCCATTTCCAATTCTCAGTAAATTTCACCTGCACGGAGTCCAATCCATCATCTTATAACGAAAGCAAAGGCTACAACAGCTGGGACTATTCTCTCAAATACATTCTAATACAATTCAATTAATTTATTGAGCTTTAACCTTGAATTTATGATTTATTCCTTGGACATAAGTATTCAAGTTTACTAATAAACAATTGACGCGCATTCTATTGCTTGCAGACAACAATTATTTGGGACGCAGCTACTGGTCAGTGCACGCAGCAATTCTCCTTCCATTCAGCACCGGCACTGGATGTTGACTGGCAGACGAATGTGTCTTTTGCATCGTGTAGTACGGATCAGTGTATTCATGTCTGCAAACTGGGCTATGACAAGCCTGTCAAGTCATTCCAAGGTCACACGGTGAGTACAGATTTTGTATTTTTTGTTTCAAATTAGTCAATTTTTACTTCTTACAAAATGAATATCCATATTTTCCCGTTAGAAGCTATGGTAAAGAATCGATTATTAAGGCACTCGATGCAAACACTCCATTTATCGATCTTTTTCCACAGGTTAAATCAATCAATATATAGCAAAGCACGCCATGCCACTGTACAGAATATGGCAATGGTATCCAATCCAAAGCATCTTACATCCATCGATAGCACCTATTTTCACCCGATGCGGGACCGAAGATTCCAGAGAAAGTTACCAAACAGGTACAAGGGTTCCCCGAAATTTTTTTCGGGAATGAAGCCAGCTGGGATCCTCTCATCCTGTGAACTTTCTTTGAGAAGCGTTTTAGAGCTTTTATCAGAGGTTGATGCAACTCCCACAGGAATCCTCATGAGATTGCACTAATTGAAATAACTGTAACTGATTCTGATCGAAACAGGCTTTCGAACCGATTATTTCGAAATGAACGATTACGAAATGATCGCTCGATCGTTTCGTACGAACCAACGAGCGAAATAACATTTCGAGGACAGCCCTACATTTAGACAGTAATGCTTCCGTTCTGTTATGTGAGACGATTAAAGTATTCCAAACGAAAGTCCATAGAAACTCTGCATGACAAAAGGTTTTGGAAAGGAAAGAGTTGCTTCCTTGGATAACAGGTGACAAAAATTTTTCACTCCTCTACAAGATCTTTACAATTGCACACGGGTAATATTGCTCAAATTCTAACTTTGAGTGCATGCCCCACCAGTCTTTGATCAAATGGTCACACAAATTCTTGTTCTTCTACAGAATGAAGTAAATGCAATTAAATGGGACCCTCAAGGAAACTTACTGGCATCTTGCTCGGATGACATGACTCTCAAGATCTGGTCGATGAAACAAGACACCTGTGTCCATGATCTCCAAGCGCACAACAAGGAAATCTACACCATCAAATGGAGTCCCACAGGAACGGGGACGCCCAATCCCAACATGAACCTCATCCTTGCCAGGTACATTTTCCATGTTTTCTTTGCTTCAAAAATACTATTGCTGAAAATTTGGAACTAAATATTTAGTTTGTCTCAGGTTGAGTCTGAAGTTTCACTCTTTCAAACCTTTTTCGTAAATCGTCAGAGAAATTTTAGCTTTAAATGAAGTCTCAAAAGCATCTGAATTCATTTCACATTCTCTTGGTTTTTCTGTGCACTAGAATTTACATTACAGGAAATGTATCAGTGGTGTCAAACGAAAAATATAATGTGTCCATAACCGCTTATGAATGAGGCTCATTCTCTTTTTTTATAAATTTTGTTTATTTGACTATTTGACGAGGATAATAGCCAAATTTTTGCGAAAGGATTTTGCTCAATTTTTTATTCGCTGCCAAACTCTGTCACAATAAAACGACATTCTCCTCGGCTTCAGTGCCACTGCAGCATCAGAACAATATCAAGGAGTTAATCTTGGACGAATGTTGACCGTTTTATGAAGAACAGAGGACTTTTTGCAATATTTTTCATCAGTTTAGCTGTGGTTTGTTGGAAATGTGATGTTCTGTTTACTCTTTCCATTTTCCCATTTTGGATTACCATCAAATTAAACATCCTAAAAGTTAATGTACTGCCACCGTTTTAAAATTGTTTACCTTGTATAGATCAAGATTTAATGGGTGGTTTCAGGATAACTGGAATAGTTTTGTCGCCGTAACAGACAACACATTTTTCGGTCATATTTTTAGTAGACTTGATAATCACTTGAATTTTTTCTCATTAATCTTCAAGAGGTTACGTATTATAACGCTTTCTAATGACTTATTGCTCTACTTTTCAATTTTAATGTATAAATGGCCGAAAATGTGCTGTCTGTCATGCGGTAAAAAGTCAGCGTAACAGACAGCACATTTTCGGCCATTTTTATTTACTAAAATTGAAAAGTAGAGCGATGAATCCTTGAAAAGCGTCATAACATGTAACCCTGTGTAGATTAATGGAAACAAATTTGAGTGATTATCATTTCTACTAAAAATATTACCTAAAAATGTGTTGTCTGTTTTGGCAACAAAACTGTTCCAGTTATCGTGAAACCACCCTAATGTTGATCAGGTGCAAGTTGATGATATAATTTATAACCTTTTTTGAATAGTCTCTGAATAGAATTGCCAGTTGCTCTTAGGGAGACATCTAGAAATAGCATTAGCGTACTGTGCAGATTACTTAAAAGAAGTCCTTTAAGGATTTTTCCACTCATCATGCAGGGTTGACGCACCTCCGGGAAAAATTAAAGTTGGATCCATGACTGCATACCTATCTAGAATCAGTTATAAAAGTATATAAATGTTGTTAACTTGGCATCAATTGTTTCACTGTGTAATAATCATGTTTTTTGTTCAGTGCATCGTTTGACTCAACAGTGCGTCTATGGGAGGTAGAGCGTGGAGTATGCATCCATACATTGACAAAACACTCAGAGCCGGTATACAGTGTTGCATTTTCACCTGATGGAAAATTCCTCGCATCAGGAAGCTTTGACAAATGTGTCCACATCTGGTCAACTCAGGTATTTTTCTATTATTTTTTGCCCTTTAATTTTCTTATGAATCTGGAGAACTGAAAAAGGTGTATTGAAAGGAGTCATCTTTTAACTGTTGTAAGGATTAAGCCTGAAAAATTATATCATTTTCAAGAAGTTGCTTATCAAATTGAAATTTTTAGAAATTGGCATCTTGCGGTGTGGTTGTAGTGCTTGTTCTATAATTTGGAGGTCCTGAGTTCAACTCTCAGCTGAACGACCCGACTTAATGGTCTCAAGTAAGAGTGGCCTTGGGCTGATCATTTAGGGAAATCAGGATTAAAGCATAGGGTGAGCCCCTTCGAGTTGTTAAAATAGGAAATAAAAAAATGTAAGGAGTTGATCCGCCTATTCTGGTAGAGTGTAGGATTTTCAAAATTCCAAAAGCATTTGAGGAATTGTGAAAAAATTCACACCTTTTGTATTGCAAATCGAATTTGGAAATCTGCTCTGAAAATTAAAGTTAGAGGGTAGAAATTTTTGAAACCCACCTGAAGCGAGCATGCCTCTCATGTAATTTTATCAACATTTGTAAAGGAGAATCATGCAGTATGGAGGAACCTGTTCCTACAATTTTAGTCCAATCCAAAGGTTGCTCGTATTTGTAATTTTCTAAGTCAACAAATGATTTTATCATAAACTTTGGCATCATAATATATACACCTAAACTTATCTTTACCCAGCAAGAGGGAAACTCTTAATGGGTGGTTTCGACACTTTAGAATCAATGTTTTGTAAAAGAAACTTCTACTAAGGCTAATAGCAGCCTAAAGAGAGGCGTCCCCAAAACATGGAAATGGATTCTATGGCTGTTCAGAAGGGTTTTTGGCAACTATGAAGACTTGGGGAATTTTGTAGGTAGGATGTTGGTGAAGCAACTTCAGTCGGTGCCATTCCAGCAAGTGCGAACAATCCCTTACTGCCTTCTTTCTATAATTTGAATCTTCAGAAGTGAAAATTTTGTTCAAAGTTTTGCGAAAGTCAGTGTCATGAAATGGAATAAAAATTTAGGAGCTTAAAGGTCAGGGAAAGTCGGGGAATTCAGAAATTTTGGAATCAGGCGGAAGAGAAAGTCAGGAGATTTGAAAAGACAGAAATCATGGAAAATGTAGCTCAAACGCTTTTACACTGTAAAGAATACAAAAGTAATGTTCGTCGCTTTTTTTCTCCAGAGCGGGCAGTTGGTCCACAGCTACAAAGGAACTGGTGGTATATTTGAAGTTTGTTGGAACTCTCGAGGAGACAAAGTTGGTGCAAGTGCCTCCGATGGCAGTGTAAGTACTATCATTGTCTTTTCCACTACTTTTTCTTTACTTTTCCTTCGCTAACTTTTGACTCCATCAAGACACCACTCTGAAATTTTGCACACGCATAGTCGAAGGTGTCATTAATATCTCATGAAATTTTCAAAAAAAAAAAAAAGGGTCTGTTTTGAGTTATATTGTTTTGAAAATTAAAATTTGCGCCAGGAAAAAATTTTGAGTTGAGCCCAATTTTGTTAAACATATCTGAAAAGCTCTTTCTCAGGGCTTTCAAACGACACTAGAACGATTGATTTCGGATGAACTGTTCTGGATTTACACTTCACTAAATTGGTGACATCCCTCAAAAACGACCAATTTCAATTAGTTAAATCAACTTAAAATTTTTGATTTTGACTAAGCTATGCATGTACACCGAATATGCCAAATTTCATCAAATTCTGAGGGGGTTACTTTTTCAAAGTGGCACCAGTTGGCATGGAATAACCCCAAGCGTATTCAAAATCAGAGCTTTTTTTCTATTTTATTTTTTCACTAGTTTAGACTTGTTTTAGATGATCTTCTCTCCTTTTTCTTTTTTAGTATTTCTCTGAACCGGAAATTGAATAGAAAGTTTTCAATATCTCTTTTAAGTTCCTTTTGAAAATTATTTGAATGCTAAGTCGACTCTTATTCTTTGTGTCCTCCTATTGGTAGACCAGAGCACTTCCTAGTTGTACATAAATGAGTCTCTAAATTTAGGTTATAATGACTGACCTTTTTTTAATTAATGTAACAAACATGGTAAAGCCATGTTTCTTTTTTCATTTTACCTATATCACAATTTAACATCTCAGCGCTCAATGTTGGAAACTCTTCAGTGGACAAGATCGATGCATCTTGCATGGATCATTTTTCCAACTATAATTCTTGGGAAAATTATATTTATACATATAATTTTTTACGTTTTTCCTCTTCAATATATAAAGTACTTCTAATCTCAAATTAAATCTCATCAAAATGCTTTTATTTTTCGTAGAACTGCACCATATTGGTTTCATCCTTTGATTCATCTCATCAGTCTTTCTATTCAGTAAAATTTAATCCAAAGTTAACTACTATTGGGATATTCCATTTAAATTGATGATTTTTTCTACATGCATACATCATATTTTTTCCTCACATAATGTTCACTCAAAATTTACAATGTTTATTGTCACCTTCCTACCAAAGCATCACAAGCATCATTAACGCTTAGATTTTGTATTGATGGACATTTCAATACTGTTTTTAATTTTTTCTTTAAAAATTTTGCTCATACTTTTATGAACATCGCAAAGATTAATCTCGGTGGTAAAAGAAATACTATGTAACATTTTCAAGTGATTCTGTTTCTTTGGCTTCCCTGTAAAAAATTGGATAAGTTTGTCACCTTGGTACTTGTGATGCTCTGGCCAGAAGGTGATGATATATTGCAAGGTGGACAACAGAGAAAAAGCCATTCAACCACTATGCTGTTGTTGCTTTTCATGATCCTTTTTTCTTTTTTGCAGGTTTTCGTTTTGGATCTGCGCAAATTGTGAGTTGAAAAACGACAGTCTGTCGTACGAAGACTGTCTGACTGAGTGCAAAAGTTGATTGTTGTCATTTACTCATCGAACACTGGAAGAACTGAGTGACGATTTAAGTAAGACATATTTTAAGTTAGGAAGGCGTTCCTGTAAATAGTGTATTATTGTCCGTTGTCTGTCAAAGGAGAACAACTTCAAGGCTTATTTGTAAATTGAACTTACTCAATGATTTAAAACTTAATCATCAGGAAAGAAACTTACATCTGTTTCAAGGAGAGCATGTCACATCTCCTTTTTTTTAATTTTATAAAAATTAGTACAGTAATTACAAAAAGAAGAATTTGTAGAGTAAAAACCACTTGAGGGAATATTTTGTGTTCAAAGAAATCCAAAAGATTTAATGGCTTTCATGATGAGAACAGTATTGCATAGTTTTCAAGATATACGATAATCTCTGTGGGTGATGGACTGAAATGAGGTTTCTCGCTCTAAAGTGAAAACAAAAGTAATCCTCGGAGGTCATTCAGACTTTTTGCTACAATCACATATTCATCAAATTTAATTGTTTCCTCAAACATTTCCTTTTTATACTTATACTATGTATTCCACCCTGTTGGTCGAACCTCTTTGGTTAAGATCAAATTATAATTTTTTTTAAAAAAAAACTCATGTAAATATTCTTCTTTTTCAATCCTCGAACAATGGTATTCTGCAATTTGGAATTGACCATTATAGTATTTTCTTTCTTGGTATCTAGGATAATTGGGACTGGTTGACCTAGGATGCGAGTCAATTATTACAAATTTGCATTTGCCTACAGGACAAGACATGACTGTTGTGAACCAAATAGATCTTTGCAGTCGATCAGTTGCATCACTCCATTTGTTTGTTTGTTGTGCTTTTATCGGAAAATGTAATAAAAAAATTCGTTGACCACCGAGAAGCTGTCTTTAGCCAACCAATTGTTCTGCCTACAGAGATACAGCATAGAATGCAAGCAATAAGTCTACTGACCAACCAAAAAGCTCCATTTCACTTTAGCCTTTGTCTTGTCTTGTAAGAAAAAAAAGAAATTTCAAAAATCTATGCAGGAAGAATTTCGATGAAAACAAAACCACTTTTTTCAAAGAATGCAATATTTAATAGGATCTAGGAAGAGTATCACAATTTATAATAAAACAAAAAAAACATACGATATGTAGATATACTTGACCTATAAAGTACCTGAAAAAAAGTGCAATTTTGATGAAGTCCTAGCCAAAGAAGTTTTAGATTTTCTGAAGTGAGGCAGAAAAGCCACTGTTTTAATTCTTATTTATGGACCAAGTTTAACAGAAAGGAACCAAGCCACATCAGCGATTGCCAAGTTTAACTGGGCGATTAAATTTTTTACGAGAGAACGGTTGTTCGGATTTCTTTGAAAATTTTAAGGAATTTGCTTCGCACCACGGAGAATTTTCACTGAAATTTGCACGAAAATCCACACAACCGTTTTCATGTAAAAAATTAAATTGCCCAATTAAATTTGGCAATAGTTGATGTGGCTTGGTTCCTTTCTGTTTAACGCGGTCCATATAAAGATGGTAAATCTTCTGTCTCATTGTAAAAGTACAAAACTTTACCCATTTTGCATGGTTTAACTTAGGGAACAAAAATTATCGGATATTGTTCTCAAGATGATGTGTCAGGCGGAAAAGTCTTCCACATTATAGCAAAGTGTAAACATTCTAAAAAAGAAGCTAATATTCTGCTACTTATCAAGAAATCTGGCTTTCAGATTTGGTCTGAATACGATCACAGCATATCCATGTTTTAAAACTTACACTAAATCATTAGAATCTTTGGCATTAAACGACCCATGGTAATTTAGGTTAAAAACTAGGATCCTGGTAAAGAAGTGTCTAAAGAGTGCTCAGATTTCCATAAAGGTAAAAATAACTTCTTTAAGAGGTTTCTTATTGTAAAAGTCAGAACAGAAGGGACTCCTTAGTACTTATACTACAGCGTCTTCCCTCTGATTCAGTGAAGGAAGATCCAGACCACCCACACCAGGCTTTTTTTCCGTTATGTCAGGTAGAATGAGGTTGGGAGCGCAGGAGAGAAAAGGAAATCCCCACCAAAGAATCCTAATTTTTATGAACGCGAAGCCTGCCTGGCTTAAATTCTGCTAAAATCGAAAAGCATAGAAAATTTTAAATTAAAAAGGCCCAAAAGAGTCCAAAATTGACTCACTCCTGCCTGAGACCTTGACTTTTAAAATCTGAACTCCGTTTTTACCTCCTAAAAGAGGTCAGGAAGACTTCAAGTTAATGGAATTCCGATTCTTTGGAGTCAATTCTCTTCATGCCTCAGTGATCCTTGAACTGATCCAGAAAAAAAGCCCGGCGCAGATGGTCTGGATTACCGGGTATATTAATGTCATTTTCAAAATAGAAAATTTTTCCTAGAGAACCCTTCAACTTATCATTATCAAGTTTAGAGGTTCACAAGAATGTCTGTTTTTTTTCGATGAAACCTAAACAATACAAATATGAAACTTTTTTTTAAAAAAATATTATCAAGAGCCGCAGGGGTCCAGAAAATGATGGAGTGCACTCCCATTCATTTTGGTGAAAGCAGCGAGATGAGCGAGATCAAGAAATTCTTCAAGTGAGCAATTTTATTTTTCTTTCTATCTTTTTACAATTAACTGAATTTTCATTTGAGTCCTCTGAAAGTAGGAAACGGCGTTAATTTTAGTGAAAGAGACTAACTAGTACATTGGCTATAGTAGAAAAATTGGCCAAACATGCTACTTTTCTGTGAGGAGAAATGCTGAGGGCGCTACTTTTTTATGAAAGTGGTGTCTCTTTTAAAAACTAAGCTTGTTCACTGAAAGGCGATTTTTGTAAAAGTAAATTTGATTGAGAAGAAAACAAAGAACTTTCTGGGCCCCTGCTAAGACGATAGCCCACAATGTGGACCCAAAAGCTCTTCAGAGCTCTAAATTAAACTATATAATGAAGTTGAAAGGGAATTATGACCTATGTAAAACTTAAATGCTATCAAAAAAAGTGATGCGTAATGATCAGATATGTGCGCTGGGCGGAAATAAGATCTCAATACTTCCTCTTCCCCTTACAAAGAAGGAAAAGGGTATACATTTACAGACAGTAGAAATACTTACACGAAAATGAGGACAGTAGTTCTTGTCGTGCTGCAACAAAACAATAAAAAATAACAAAGGATTGAAATGCTCAATTAATTCATAAGATGTAGAACAAGAAAGGATACAATGATAACATATAACACATAACATATTTGAAGAATCTTACCTCCTAAAATTGAAGAAAACAGCTTCAGCTTTTGTCCCTTCTCCCAAAACTTGAAAAGCCAAAGGACAAAGCTTAGATTAAGGTACTACATTTCAAGTTTTCAATTCAAAATTTCAGATTGAAAACGATTCACACAGTACCAAATTCGAAAACTAACTCTCAAGGATGATTAACTTTGACATAGAACAATGAACAAACAGAAGATAATACATGACACCAATCATGTATGTATTAATATTTGACTAATCTATGCAAAAAATTCATATCTTAATTGCGACTGTTGATAATCAGATAATGTTTCATTTTCTTCAAGAGAAACCAATCAGAACATTTACCTACAATTTTGTTTAATCTTCTCCAGAATGAGTGAGGACAATTCATAGAAAACTTCAACAGAACTGTAAGTTAGTTTCCCTTCAGGGAAAGCCAACTTAAGCAGAGAATTGCAAAGTCGCAATTTGAGATACACATTTTTCAATTGAGTCATAGTGATGTTAATTAATGGCACCCCTCGCCTCAGATATCCCTCACTTTTGAAGTTGTCTTTATATCAGTGCCTCAGAGCCGATAGGTACCTAGCTCACATCATTGGAAAAATCAAGTTATTAGCGTCTTGGAAATTTTCTATAATGATTCCTGGTAAGGGCGAACTTTCGTAGCCCGATCATGCTGGTCATGGGATACAAAGTTTCAAACATTGCAATTTACATTGGAATGAATTGAGCGGATGCAGAATTTTGATACAACGTTTCAAACATTGCAATTTACATTGGAATGAATTGAGCGGATGCAAAATTTTTTCCTGACACCTCAAAAATACTAAAACGAAGTTAGGAACCTTTTGACTCTGAAGTACATTCTGATACAAATCTTAAAAATTTGAATAGGAAACAAGTTGCTTGGTGCTTCCATCTCCAGCACATTCATCAGAAATTCCTTCACGGGATTGATTCCTTTGTAACATGCAGGTAGACCACTTATCAGCTTGAGATGCTTCTAATTTTCTTCAAATAAAAAAGATTGGTCAAAGTTTTCCAATGTGAAACTTTTCAGTACTATTCAATAATTCAGTTCGTGGAAATTGTTAACTATCACCAGTAAAAGCTGCAAAATGGTGCAAACGGTAAAGGCAGAGAAATAAAACAGTGATGCCAGGAACCCATCTGCCCAGGCTTGGGATAATATACAGTGAAGAATCTACCTTCTTCAGTAGATAGGCATTACCATTCTACTTTTATCACAAACTTTTCATTCAATGAGCGAATTAATAACTTATCTTAACCTAGCCGTATACTAACTTCAGACCCTGTAAACAATTGCACAAGCGTCTCATTAAGTAGGGTCTTACACATGAAACAATAAAGAAACAAAACAAACTTAGAATAGTAATGCTCTCACAGGCACTTAAAGTGATAGATGGAACAGTTAATGCAGAATGAAAAATTCAAGTTTCTTCTTGCTACAGATGTCTAACTAGCCTAAATACAACAGCTTACAGCTGCTTCGTATAGAAAATTCCAGCCTCGGAGGAAACAGAATTCGTGAAAAATTGAAAATTCTGAAGCCTAAAACTTTGAAGGAAATAATGATAACAATATTTTACCATTTATAATGTCCACAATACACATTAATAACATACTTAATTCATGATTAAACTTACAATACATAGGTACGTATAATTAGACGTATCCAGTCCTCAGATGAAACACCTGAGGTGGTGACCAGAAAGTTATCGGAGGATTGAATGTGACTTAAAAAGGTATCAGTCGGTGCCGGTCATGGACAAAGTTGCTTGCTCTTCATTTCTGACCGAGCCACAGACAACCAGGACATGTGACAAATGAAGTAGACGCCGATCGTCTAACAGTAGTTGACCATTTGGTCATAAGGTATCTTATGATCATGATACGATTCTTGACTATTTGGTGGTGGAATATCTAAGATACATGGAGGAGTCAATAAGCATAAAAAGATTTTAAGGATAAAGTCAGAGTATATATATAGTAATAAATTCTCATGCCGCTCAATTTCTTGCTTACTATCTCTTTACACCCCTTGACAGTAAGAGTGAGAGCATGGTATACTCAGTGCTTCAGTGCTTTGATCCATCTATGATGTAAACTCAATTTTTCAATAAACTATAGGTGACTTGCTGTGACATGAAAACATTCACTTAGAGGAGTGCTACTTACCCTCTTCCTCTTTTCAATTTTCTTGGGTATTAATGAAAAACACTAAAAATGTTAGGCCTTGTCTCCGCAGGACTGTCCGGCCATTTGTCACTGCAGCCAATTGCATAGACAAGTCTGAGATCACTTCAAACAAACTCAAAACAAATCACTGAAACCTGCCAATTAATAATGGATCAGTTTGGTGTTTCTTCTCCTTCCATAGCACAAGTGATGTTCTTGGAATAAATTTTAAATCGTTTGAAATCAACCACCTCTCTTTTTCATGTAATTCGTTGTAGCGGTAAAACGCCTGAGAACGCCCCAAAGGAGACAAGGTTTTAGAATGGCAGGCAGATGAAAAGTCCAAAATCGTAATTTACTAGCACTCTGTAAATACAAGTCTTACCTCTCTGGAAGGTATACTTGCATCCCATGTCATGGTAGTTGATTTTTGTCGACTAGTAAATCAGCTAAACTTACGCTATCACTGCAATAAGACACTAGGAAGAAAAAACTCAACAAGTAACAAATAATGATCTTGGTAAATGCTGAGGTCAACCTGTGTGGCATTTACGAAGTTTAAGCAATGGTGCGTTTTCTTCAATAGGAGCCGTTCAAGTACTATGTAATGCCTGATTTGCAGTTTCTTGACTCCGTTTCTCTCGTTCCTGTAACGCACCCTTAACATTAGCTTGAGTCTGAACTCCTTTGGGATTGCAGAAATCAGGCTGAGAACTCTAGCAACTCAATTTCACAGAAACAGGGCAAAATTAAAGGGAAAAAAAAAAATTTCCAGTAGCTCTTTCAAAGCTACTTTGATGTAAAAATACGCGAATACAGAGGTTAACTTGACAACAAATTCCCAACCCTAAAATATTGGGTTTCATTTGTAAAGATTGAATTTCATAAGATTTCTACCTGAAATTGCAAATTAGGTATTCTCTTGCAGTACCTATTTCATTTTATTAAAAGCTTCTGTACATTAAAATCTGACAGAGGCTTGAAACACTGGACTTGACCCCTCTCCTTTTGGGATACTGTACTATGATTTCAAGACAACCCCCCCCCCCAATCTTAGTTGCACTACATGGTGCTTGAATGGCTTCTTTCCTGCCACCAACAGATTAGATTCCTCTTTAAGAGGAATTATTTAACTCAAACAGGATAAGAAGAAATTGTATGAAACACAGGTTTCAACCTGTAGCACTTATTTAACTTCCGGACATAATCGTTTCTGAGTGTTGGGAGAATCGGGATTATTGCAGCATTTGCTTAATGATTTCTTGCCTTTGCCTCGTGGTGACTTAAGGATGAGTCTTTTCGGGCCTATGTATCTCTTTACCTCAACTAGAGGGAACTTCGCACAATTTTTGACTTTCGGGTTTGATGAGGGGTATGTGACAGCCGGACACTCGGACTCTAACAATCCTGAACCAGAGGCTTCCGCATCTTGAACTTGGTTGATGACCTGAAAAAGAGACATCTTTTATTTAGAAACAGGTGAAAGTAAAGAGGAATAACTGATGAGATGAATGAAGTTGACCTACAAATTTAAGGAGGTTCTTGCATTGATTTTGTACGGCTCCTTAATTTGAGAATACTCTTGCTGTTACTTAAGTGCTTGCTGCACTGCGACGGCGTAAAGACATCAACACATCACGGGGTGATGAGGCGCCGCAATCACATATCTCGTTTGCGGTGTCTGAAAATCTCCGCCTCTATGTTACTTTTTTAAAGGAGAACAAATTGACATCATTCTTTGAAGTTTACGAAGAATTTTCTTTGCACAGAGAAGAAAAATCACGGCAGTTTTAAAGAATTGTTGTTGAGTAGTTTTCAGTTTAAAAAATAAAGTATGACAGGAAGTCTGCGACGTCGCAAACCATGTTATGTGATTGCCAACTTACACCGTCGACAAGCTTCTTCAACAAGGCAAAGGACCCTCGACCTCTGCAGGACTATCAAGGACTCTCATCGACCAGGCTACCTAGATCTAGCCAGTGCCGATGGATTGATTGCACCCCTTTTTTCATTTCATTCTCTGAAAATACTGAGTGAAATTAATTTTCTAGGGATTTTTCAGTTATTTCGAACCCAAAATGGCAAAGAAAACCAGTTTTGAAAATGCCAAAAATTGGACACGTTTGAAGCAAAATTTTTGGCAGGCTCTGATGACACTGTCAGGCAAGGGCCTTTGCTGATCGGCTGAACTTGGCTTCAAGCATCGCCTTTTGCTACATCAATTAAACTGTCAGCTTTTGATTGATCAGATTTTGATTAGCTGTTTATCATCTAAGAAATGTTTTTTTTAACCTTAGAATGAACTTTTTGGTTTTCGGTATAGGTTGTATTTTAAACAGCTGATTTGACTTTTCCTGAACTAAACCAACAAAAGATATTGACATTTTGCCGCATAATTTGGCAACCTTAAACGATAATGGTTTTTGACAGGCAGGAAGTTTGAATCTATATTTTGCAATGGGACTAGAATTGTTGGTTTTGCATCAATGACTTGATTCTAAAGTTTTTGAGATTTTCAATATGTTCTGGTTGAAATTGATGAGGACATGTGCCTTTTGGAAGTCAATCCTTACCCTGGTTTGAACTTAAGGAACAGTGCTGTAAAACCTCCAAGAGTTGCCAAATTTCCTCCGATGAAATTTTTATTTTTGTGGTATGAATTATTTTTCCTGAAATTTTCAAGTAATTTAGATTGATTTAGAAATAAAATTCTCAAAAAAATTTGGAGAAAAATGTAAAAAAAAGTTCCTGAAAGTTCATATTTAATTGCAGGAAATTTAGCAACATCTGAAGCTTTAAACAAGGTTTCTCCTTAGCACAGCAGTGTGGTCCATTATTGAAATAATGGTGGCTCAATCTCAATAGATAGGAAATTTTTCCAAAAGTGTTGCAAATACCTTTTCCTCTTGGTTGTCAGTGTTCATAATGGCTGGTAACTTTTGGGCATCCACCCGGATGAGTTTAACAAGGGGAGTGGCTTTGGTGCAAATTTTTAAAAGGTTGCTCCTTCTGTCATGCAGCTTTGACGGACAGCTATCACAATCACAGGAAACAGAATCAGTATCAGAAGGCTCCGACTGATTGCTATCACTATCGCAAGAAACTTCATCACTATCTGAACATGACTCTCCCCCTTCCATTTCATCGATTATGATGTTCTTCCACTTCCGAATCAAACATTGAGCAACGGTGCCAACAGACTCGTCATGCCGCAATAAGTTCACGGTGTGCCCAATGAGGGTAGTTTGTAGATCTGCTGTTGTCATCTCGACATCAAAGAGACTGAAAAGCACATCTAATATCTGAAAAAAAATAAAAATAATAAAAATTCAGAGACTTATGGATGATGAGTTAGTAGATACTGTTCCTCACCATAAATGAGAAATAAAAGTACTTGTCTTCACAAATGATCACCTTGGACATGGGTCGGAGGCACCCAATTTGTTTTCTTTGTTCTTTTTAAAAAAGCAGAGTGATTGAAGCTTTTGGTAATGTTTCAGATGTTTTTAAACCTTCAGTAAATGGCAAAGAAAAACCTTCAGAAAATGCCAAAAATGGGACCTATTCGAAACAATATTGTTATCACGCTCTAATGACATGGCCAGGCAACAGCATTTGCTAATTGGCTGCACTCTACCTCAGGCATCGCCTGGCTACGTCAACTTGACTTTCAGCTTTTAATGGTCCGATTTTGATTGACTGTTTCTCCTTTGATGCCCCTGCACATGTGGCATCGCCAGTCGCTGCACGCAAGTCTGAGGAGCACTGGACGATTCAGCCTCGAAAAGTGACTTCATCGGTGCTTCTGTACACAGCAACTCTGCAGTACTTTATGATCTAGGTAGATGAAATTCAGGGGTATCGCAGTCCTCATTCTGGCTCAGTATTTCCAAGAGGCAAACCCTTTATGATCAATTTAATCATTCAGTCAATCAATTCTCCGCGCACAGCTGGGAGATGTAGCAAAGACCCCTCTTGAATTCTTGGTTAGGTATCATATGTGGTATTAAATGGAGGGAATGAAGTTGAATATGAAGGATTCCCTTCCATCTCGGATGGAAAAGTGAGGGGACCTGATTGTAAGTCAAAAACTCTTGGGATGGAAGCAACATATGCTGCAATGGAGACAACAAAAATTGTATGGTCTACTTTCATCTTGATGACCTCCCTCCTGAAAGAACCAAAGAATTAAACAGTTACCTGATTAACTTCAGTGGAGATCTCTAACTGAGCCTTCCGGTCAAGAATATCTTGAAGTTTGTCAGACGCCAATTCAGTCATCATAATGGGCAACAGAACACTTCACATTCCAAGAGGAGGCAATGCAAACCTGCTGGGTGCTTCCTGGTGACAGACTACCTACCAATGAATTTATCCACGTACTTCATTTCTCGAGACTGTTATGACTCACTGACTGAACATGAAGAGAATACCTTGCGCTGGAAAAGGAGAACACGAGGCGAAGCGAATATTATTATCGCTCCTTCTTTACAAAATCTGATAACACAATCACGATGCGAGAGGGGCTTATCGTGATGTTTTTGACCGTTTTGCGTTTTGGGGGTTTTGAACGACCTTGACATTGTTTTTGTTTTGAGTTGACCAGTTAAGAGTGACGTCAGGAGCTGATGACGTAATCAATCAGCTGGTGCCGGTTGGCGCTAAAATTTATGTAAACAATCAGTTTTAGGTTAGATTTCGTACAACATTTCAGCAAGTGACTCTATTTTGTTTTCTTGACGTTATTATCTCTTCTATCGGCTTTTATCTTCTGAGTTCGTCAGAAATAAGATAAGACGTGGCACGATACAAGAATACAACACAACCATGAATTTCCTATCAGAAGTTATGGCCACAGCAGGTATGAAAATTGTTAAACTTATTCAGAGCTCATCCTGGCATTTTTTCCAAATGCATCATGAAACCAGTTTATACTTCCTCGCCTCATTCATTGATACCTACTTACTTACTTTAAATTACTAATCTGCCTCCTCAACTATGCTTTGCCATAAGATTCTATCTTCTGCGTTTTGACTTCAGCCTGTGACGTTCAGCTCTCTCGAGTCCTTTTTTACCGCATCTGGCCACCTAAACCCAGGTCTTCCTCTGTTGAAAAAACTTTTTCCTCATTCTTATTTGTAATCTAACTTGTTCCATCCTTTTATGTATCTTCTGGCTCTTCTTAAATCTTACCATATCTTCAATCTCCTAACTCTTATTGACTTCCTTGTCGTCTCCATTCTCCAGATTCATCTTTGACTGCTCCATAAATTCTTCTATCAATTGTTTCTTCGCAATTTTCGCATGTAGTTTTCTTTGCTCTCTGTCATTGCCCATGTTTCTCCACTGTAAGTGTCCACAGGTCTGACCAGTGTCTTGTACTAGTATCCATTTTATTTTCCTTGGATAGTTGTTAATTTTTAATGAGCTGTAGGGTTGCCCACTAAGCCTTATTTCCTGTTGGTACTCTGTCTCAATTGCACTGATCATTTTTGCCTCTTTGATTGCCTGATTTGCTTGCTCTGATTTACCCTGGTTTGAGTTTATTGATCTCATGAGGATTGGGATTAACTGTGGAAGCGGGGAAGCGGAGTTGTCAAAATGAGGGATATGTTTCTAAAGTAGAAACTGCAAAGCAGTGAAATCAGTCTCAGATCGGAATACTCCATTGGCTATCTTGCTGTTGGACCATTCCAGGGTTTCAGTCATCTATCAGAGTTCTCCTATGAGAAATCTAGACACTGACGTAATGTCAGGTTTTATTAATGTCTTTTTGTAAGTAAGTGTGTTTGTTTATTTTCCAGGAAAAATTGAAATGGATGAGTTACGTTACAAAATCCGCCGCATCAAAGAGGATATCTCCACACTCAAATCAAAAGTGAATGACATAGTGAAACGCGAATATGTCCAGTTCATTCCTTTGGTTGAAGATGATGAAGACTTGACATTGGAAGCCATCCATCTAGCTGATGAAATGGAATCTCTGAGTAACCGTATTGACAAACAGGTACAGTTTTATTCCTCTCAATTTTTTTAACTTAATACTAGGACCCTTTTTTTACTGAATAGGTACATTCATAAGAGCCCCTCTTACAGCACTCGGTGACACCTAACTGCCGCAGACACCTATCTTTTCAAAGCCCCTTTGATAGCTGGATCTCCGCCTGAAGATGGTCTCTATCATATAGGTACTAATTCCATCACTATGTTGAGCCTCTCCTCTTGAATTGGCAGCCTTTGCATTTTTTATAAAAAAATTTTCATAATTAGGTATCACCTCAAAGAAGTTATTTTTTTCCATTTTTTTTAGTTGAAAAATTTGAACATACTTATCGATGCTTTTATTCCTCAACTCTTTAAATAGTGAATCTATTGAAAATTGGCCTTTCAATAGTTTATGTGCACTCGCTCATGGTGATCAATGTTTCCTAATTAATTTCAGATGAAGGTTGAAGTGACAGAATGTCTGACAGAAGTGGCAAATCTGAGTGAGGCATTCAGAGAATCTAATCTCTTGTTGGAAGCTCTTCAAAAATTACTTTTCATCCATGATAACCTCCAGTCCACTCGTGACATCCATGACAATGAAAGCCGCACCAAAGCAATTAAAAAACTGATTGGGATCTCAGAGTTGCTGGACACCATGTCAGATCAGTTTGAATCTTTAGAGATTTTGGAAGGAATCAGGGCTGAAATTGATGAACAGTGGCAGTCCTTCTTGCTGTCTGACAATGAGGCCCTTCGCAAGCACATAACATGGGATGAACGTGAACCCAGTTGTAAAAACAGACAGGTAGGAAAAGTCCTTCTAAGAAAAATATCTTGTTGTTTGTTGCAAGAATGCTTTAACCTTATTTCATGTTCTTGTTCCTTATCCATGCTACTTTCAATAGTGATTAGATTCACTTCTAGCATTATCATTTGTGACCTCCCCTAGAGAATGAGATCTCGATTTTTGCAAAAACTTAAAATTTAGTCACTAATACCAGGACACAGAGGAGTTTTTTATGAACATTCTGGTACAAATAAACCCCAACATTTTCAAACCATAGACATAACACAATCTAGACTGCAGGCTGATTATTGAAATTTTGTGTTTGTCGGGTGGACATGGAAGACATAAGTTAAATTGTGAAGTGTGATTGGTCGGCATGTCTTATTGCTACTTTGTCGATTGGAATGGAGGACAAACTAAAGGCACCTCTCTAGTATCCGACAGCATGTCGTCCATTCCAATCAACAAAGCAGCGATAAGACATAGCCGACCAATCATTCTTCGCCATTTTATCTATTTCATCAATGTCCACCCTGCAAACACAAAATTTCAATGATCAGGCTGCAGGTCTGACTTTAAGCGGGAGAGGCTAGACAATTAGGAAGGTAAATTGCGCCTTTACCTGAGTTGACACAGCCTGTGGCCGAATTATTGAGACTCGAGTTGGCCTGATAAGACAAGACAAGACGTAGCAACTTAGCCCTATCTTAACCTTGAAATATATCGCAACTTGATGTCTTATCAGGCTGCTTTAAACTTTCAATAATTGGTCTATTGGTATGCATGTAGTATCATGTGACGTCCATTATAAGAGCGTGGCCGCACGTCCGTTTTGCTGAAGGATGCCTCTGATTCCTCGAATTTTCTGACACTACATGCAATACGGGCTACCTACCCATCGTCTCGCCAAAAGATCTTAATGTGCCTTCTAGGTTGTTTTATATGTCAATGTGTCAAACCAAACCGGAGTTATGGTGGTGTAAAATTTCTAATCCATAAAGCTTTGTTTTGAGAAAAATCTCTTTTAAATGTTAATCTGCAAAATTTCCAAACTATAATGGAACCCTATGTCTCTTTTTGGCACAAAAATATACTAAATTGTCAGCAATTCATTCTTCAGGACTCTAAAGAGTCTCTGTTGGCATCTCAAACTCTGATTTTTCAGTTCTAAAATAAAGAAGATTGTTTTTTGCAAAAAGGAATCAAGAGCATTCCAATGTTGCTAGGATTGTGCAACTTACATTTTGTGCCAAGCATTATTTAATCATGCTAAAAATTTAATTTACCTACGTAATTTTCATCTTGAATTTATAGTTGATTGGGAACATTGATAGAACTTGTTTAGATGATCAGTTTATATTTGCAAGGTAAAATGAGCCGCATAATCTTAACAACATTGGAATACTCCTTGGTTCTTTTTTGAGAAATGCAATCCAAGTGTTCATGCTACATTCTCCATAGTCAGTAAGATACATCTCTATGATTTCCTGTAAAAAGCGCGTGGAGATTTAATAATTTGATCACATACTCTGAAATTCACTGATTTGATTTGATGTCATGGTGCATTACATAACAATGAAAACAAATATCTGTGATTCTAGTTGACTCTGACCGTGTCAGAAAATTTTGCCAAGAGTGAAATTTTGGAAGCACTAAATTTGCTAGATGATCTACCCCTGGTCACATCAAAGTTTTGTGAAGGTCTCATGAGTAAGATTCTTATCCCATTGATGACGCAACCACACTCAGTAGATATCATGACAACCAAAGGTGCCCAGCTGATTCTCCGATCAATCCCTAGCACTGTCGATCAACCAATACAATTGAAGATGGAAAATCTCCTCAAGGTTACAAAATTTTAATCCACTTAACTAGGCATTAAATGCACTGATTACTCTCTAATCAATATATTAAGCATGTTTCTTGTAAATGATTATTGTTTTCGCCCCAAAAATGTGCGAGCATAGAGGTGGAAAATCTGCTTGCCCAATCTATTCATAATCTGCAGCCTCAGATTGATACTCTTTTGAAAGTTTCCTGCTCAAACCTGGTATCAGAGGAGATCGCAATGAATCACTAGACAAGGTGTAAATTCAAGCATTTTGTTCTCCCATCAAAATCTAACGTAGAACACGATTTGTACAACGAAAATTACTTTAAGTAACTTCTAACCAAGATACTAATGTTTTTTATGCGTGAAGACAAACTTTCCACCTATAGTAAAAACAGAAATCTCCTTGCATCAAATCGCTTTTTAAACATTACCGTAACAGTCTCTGCAATATAAAATGATGATAACCTCAATCTCGACGATTCGACTCAACTTTTGCAAGTTGCTTACATTCTGAACAACGCGAGGTAAGGAAGGAACACTGCTTGATTCGGAAGCCTGCCAAAACCGTTGAACAATTTGATTGACGTAGACTCTTGTTTTTCTTGTAAGTTTAATTCAAATTCTTTGTAACCAATGCTAATGAAAGCGTTTGCATCTTGATTTGGAATTAATATCAGTTATTGCCATTGCAAACATTTTTTTCTATTTGAAACTTTGAAGAGGAAACATTTACGAGAATGCTTAAATTCACTCTGTGTATTTGCATTTGGTAAGTACACTAAAAATTTCAAAAAAGTTATCCTGTACCTTACCCTTAAAGTCTCAAAGTTTGTAGCAAAAATTACACTGATTTAAATGAGGAGGAAAAAAGTGGAGCAGAAGGGATGTGTTATTAGTGTTAAGTACTCGGTCAAGTAGTAAAGTCTCACATTTTTCTTCGTCTGACAGCTGAGACATATGAAACAAAAATCTTCAATTTTGGCCTGTAAAGGCTCTGTTGTAGGACATGTACCCATTTGTTGAATTCCCTTATAAATGTCAAGCAAGGTGGGTCGAAGATGCACTAAATTTCAGAATACTGACTCTTTCTTGCAATCTGACATTTTTGTCTCTTGGCTGAGTTCAAAATCGGCTCTAATTTTTCAGTATGATATGGAAAAGAGTCATCGCTTTTAAAAATTGCCTCCTGGCAAAAGATTTGTCTCATATTTACTTTACCCTATAGTTTGCTGAACCAGTCATTTTTTGCTCCCCTTCAAAGAGTTAAAGAATGCTCTACAAGTTCAGAAAATGCCATGACATGACAGACATTCTCTTTTTTGGGCTTAAACTGTGTCAATAGTTTAATTGTCTCATTCCATCTTGCTAGTGTAGGAAACTTTTAATAATAAAATCTCAGGAGCTTCCTTGTGCTCTTAAATACTCATTCTTTCTTGTCGATATTAAAAAGTTACTTCTTATTTTTTATCTTACTTATTCAAAAAATGTGTTTTTCCAGGTCTTTCAGTTCTTGTCAGAATATTTGAGTGTGCCCATTGATGAGACCAGAAAGTTCACATCAAAAGTAGATGACTTCATAGCTGAAAATTTTTGCGAGCTCTTTATCAAGCATTGTGTTGTTGAATCAATTCCGTTTAAGCAAAAGGATTATCGAAACTATGAGAAGTTTGTGTGTCAGATCATGTCCTTCGAAACTTCTCTCAGAAAAATGGGTAATGTTAAGCATTGTGTGTCAGGTCCTTTGAACTAATTTTAAACAAAGATACTTGCTTCAATGCCTCCCTACAATTTTTATCCAAGTAATGTATTTTTATAGTATGTAATCGGGTGAGAAGGGTTTGCACCAGAGTATCATAAAATATTAACAGCTTTGTAATACTGTAAGAGTGACAGATGTCAAAAAAACTGGGAATGTGGCATTAAATTATTTAGGGATGACTGAAAGTCATCAAGACTGCATTTTGTTTATTTGTTCCTGTTTAAATTTTGCAGGATTTTTGTCACACAAAACTACAGCCTTATCGCACTTTACCTCAAACTCAGAAGAGCAGTTCAGTGAAAACGCAAGTCAGGTACATATAGCAAAAGCGCGGGATCTCATGAAGAAAGATCTTCATCGGATGACCCAGGTTGCACCATCGAATGTTAGCAACGAATCAATAGCAGATAATTGGCACATGGACCTCTGCGAAAACACTTTTGAGTTTCCCACGTGCTGTATCAGCCAGTCTGCAACAGAACTTGTTGGGGCCCTGACGGAGATAATGGAGGACATTGTTCATTCAACCAGCACACTTCATGCAGTTAAGCTCTTCTGTGCAGCTCGTAATATTGTTAGCATGTATGCTGATGTTGTATCCGTCTACCATGCTAAAATGCTCACTTCAATCCCGCAGCAAGCAGGTCAGTGCATCTCTTTATTTCATTTCAACTCCTTCTGGGCATTTTATTAAAGGGGAGTTTAAAAGGACATTCCTTTGTTTCATCAAAAATGTATGTTTAAAGTAAAATGCATTATTATGTTTTTTAGTATGTATCAAAAATGAGGTCGATAGTCAAGAAAGACATTTGACAACTATCATTTATATTTAGAAACATTATTTTTGTGGAAAAAAATGTTTCAAATAAAACGGAAAATGTAATGTCCGTAAAAGAATGGATAATGTAATGTCTGTGAAAGAACGGATAATGTAATGTCCATGAAAAAATGGATAATGTTGTGTCCGTAAAAGAATGGAAAATGTAATGCCTGTGTAAAAACAGAAAACGCCAGAAAACAGAATAACACTTAAAATTGTTGCAAAAATATTTTACTGAACATCAATTACACAAACTCCTCGTTGTATTAGACCCATGTGTTCACTCGGAACTTTATCAGATCCAGGGGAGGAGGCAATGGCGGGATCGCCCCCCCCCCCTGGAGCCAAAAAAAAAGAAGGAGGGAAAGAAAGGGGAAAAAGAGAAGAAAAAGAAGGGAAAGAAGGGGAAAAAAGGAGCCTGGTAGGAATGATAACCGTTTTGTAATTTTTTAGTGCAGGGAGGAGGATTTTTAAGCTGTGGGCATAGCCGGGGGCGATGCCTTTGGACCCCCATTGGCTGTTTTTTGCATCATCATGAAGTTTTTTTTAAAATGTTTAAAATAAAGTAGCCAAAAAATTTTCCGCACATTTTCTGTTTTGTTTATTTTTTCTGAGATTCACAAAAAAATAAACAAAGTAAACAAAAAATAAATTAGCACTAGCACTTTAAACTGAGAGGGTATTTGTAAATGCAGGCTATTGTTGGTTCTCTGGCAGTCTTCCTTCATTTAAATTTCAAAGTCTGATGTTTTAAGCTATTTTTGCTTTTTACGATATTTTAATGTTACAAAGAAGAATAGACTATTTACAGGTTTGAGATATCCAAAACAAGTACAAATAAACGTTTGAATTGAGGTTTTAATTTTTTCTCTTGTGTTTTACCATCAAATTGACGGAAAAAAGTGGGAATACCTATAAAAATATCCGTCTAAATATTAAGAACTTCCAAGGTTAAAAATAGGCTAAAATTCCATCAGCAAGTGTTTAAATTCTCAACAGTTTCCGGGGGACCCCCCTTTTACTGGGGGGTGTACCCTCCAGACCCCCCAGTCACGTGCCTCAATATTCGCCCCCCCCCCCTGAACACTACGCTGGATCCGCCCCTGATCAGATCACTGTTTGATGAGAAAATTGAAATTGAAAATATTTTCTCAAAGCGCATGTCCAAATCATGTAATGTCCGTCTATTTTTCAGTGTAGCTCTTTCTGAGGTTTACTTTATTGAATGAAACTTTGAAAGGAAGGAAGGGGTCCTCCTCGCATTGATCAAATAATTTTTTTTACAGCTTTTAATTCGAATAATTTACCCTTTATGATATTTCAAAGTGCCAAAATTTAATGTTCATGACTAAAAAATGCCCTTCTTAACTCAATTTCTAAGTCACACTTGTCATGGTTTTGCTCTAAGCAGAATCTGAGATGGAAAATGAAGATATTATGGAAACCCTGTCTGCGTGAAATGTCGATGAGAATAAATATACCATATCATTGAAATTCGCTCCTTTTCCAGTAGCATATACAATGCTTGCCGCATTGTGGCTAGGTTTTTTAAAGCTGAACTCGAATCAAATTTTGTCTCTTTCCAGAAAATTTAAAGAGGACTTATTTAGACTCAGAATTTATAGCCAATTTTAATAACATTTCTTTTATATTTGTCTTTCCTTTTTCCAGCATTGTTTTTCAATAACTGCTTTTACCTGGCACATAAGTCTGTTTTCCTCATAGTTGAGTACAAACCTAAGTTCCCACAAACTCTTGATGCCCGCTTGGTTACTATGGTTGACCTGGTGCAGCCATTGCGGAAAGCTGGGCTAACTGTCCTCATAGAGCAAGTGCAAACACAGAAGAAACAAATTGTTGACATCATTAAGGATTCAGGTATGTCCCTCACAGTGTTAATAGGATGGTCTGACGTCTTTACAGGAAAAGGCAGCTTGTCGCTAGAGTCCCTTTATACTGAGAGTCAAGACAACACCCCTCATGGAGTCACAAACGGGAATAAAGATTACACAAATTGAACGTTTTTCGTAATCTTTGATCGGCTCATTCTTAAATTCCTTTCTCCGTTCCTTCTCTCATTCCGTTTGTTCCTTGTCGAACCCGAAATTCCTCGGTCCATTCCAGATTATAATCTTTGCAATTGGTGAAAATGTAATCTTTATTCCCGTTTGTGACACTGTGGAGGCCTAAAATCCGGTTAACCAATCAGAAATGGATTCGCATTGTCTTGACTCTCAGTATAAAGGGACTCTACTTGTCGCAGATCTGTCAGGACAGGTAGTTCCAAAAAGTAAAGCAACAATGCTTTTTTTAGCAAACAAGTTGAGCCATTGACTTACTGTTGACTGCTCTTGTTTCTTGATGAAGTCAAGTGAAATAAAATACATCTAAAGTATCATTGATTATAATGGCTGACTACTTGATAAATGACCTTTTTCGTTTTATTGGAAAATGTCTTTTCTCTTTGAGAAAAGCAACCTATCAAAAATAGGTAGCTGAATCTTGGCCCTGATTAAATTAATTAGGCTCTGAATATATATGTTTTCATTTCTGATTTGAATTACTTTTCTCAAAAAAAATGTATCTTTCTTTCGATGTTCTAAGATTTTCATCTGTATTTTATTTTTTCAAAGAGGAACATGCTAATTTTATCTTTTGAAATCACAACAACTCATTCTGAAAACAGAATATTAAAACCACAGAAATTTGCAAGAAAGTCTGCTCATCTGTTTTCCAATGATAAAGTTAGGTATGACGGAAAGTCTATGTTGTGAACCAAGTTACATTGTTTTTAAGTTTGCAGTACATTTTTTCATTGATAACTTCTGGAAGGTGAAAAAAAAGACCTTAAGGAAAACCTTCTAATAGATGTTCACTGTGTGTTTGCTGCTGGTAGGACTCATTACTCTCGGAGACACCTCTGTTTTTCCGGTCTCAATCGAAAAGTCCATGCGGCAGTGTTTACGGCAATTGAAGCTATTGCAGTCCGTCTGGACGCACATTCTTCCAGCATCCACCTATACCAAAATAATGGGTAAGATTCAATAATATTAACTACTTGGTTTTGGCATCGGTGATCCTACTCGGACCTCAGTGGGTGCTTTTGCATCATGCACCTATTTCATGAAGGAAGTTTAGGAGGTGACTGCCAATTGCATTCAAAGATTATTCTCCGTGTCATTTAATGACACACAAAATCAGGTCACCTAACTTTACACAATTGTGTTTCAACTGTAAACCCTGCATGGAAACTAATATCTTCAGTTTTGACTAAAACTTTCATAAATAACACTCAATGCAGTTAATTATGGAAGCCCCCTCCCACTGCAGCACTTTGTGTCAATCCTCATAGTGCATTTATTCCAAGAAATCAAGGTATTTTATGAGCTTGTTTAGTGAATCACTCAAACGCCTCTCTTTTCCAACTTAAACTTTCATAAATTGCCATTCATGGATGGCTCAGCTGTTTGCATTCAAAATTAGCACTAACCCAGTCCTAACTAGAGTACCTGTATAGGGAGAGTATGGACAGATCGGTTCATGGAGGGCTTAGGGCCCAAAAGTGCAGCCACCCTTCTGAGCAACTTCTAACGCACAAAATTTCACTGCCAGACTACAGATTTCAATTCTAACCAAGATGGCTAAGAGTGTACATAAATAAGCGTTCTTTCGCAAAAATAAGTAAATTTATGCAAAAAGTAAGCCGAATACATGCTTTCTAAACGACAGTTCGTAAGAATTGTATTTGTAAATCCCTCTGGACATTCGAAATTCATAGGTTGGCTGCCCTTTTGGGCCCTAACTTTATTCGCGGAGGCATCGGTGAAGGCCTGATGGACTTTCGGAGTTTCAGATCTGTCCATACTCTCCCTATACAGGCACTCTAGTCATAACTAAGAATGAACAACAAGTGTAAAATAGCTATCTAGGGTGGCTGTTTTTTTTACCCGGGTTATTCAATGGACAAGACTTTACCTCTCCCCACTCCAACCCCTCTCCTTCTTTTCCAAAATTTACTTTCATTTCTTTTTATCAAGGAGCAATTCAGATAGTGCACTGCACACTGAAAATGAATTGATTTTTTAGTTCATGAGAAAGTTTTATTTTACTGAATAATTTTTTGTTGCTGCACACCCTTTTCCAAGTACACTGGTAAGATGCTCAGTCGACGTAATCAAAATAAAAAAAAAAAAAAAAAAAAAAATNAAAAAAAAAAAAAAAAAAAAAAAAAAAAATCTGAATGCACGTTTTGATTAAAGATCAGGGAAAATCAAGAAATAGTCAGGTTTTAAATTTTGGAGTCAGAAGAAACCAAAAAATGCTGGGGAACAAAAAAATGAAGAAATTACAGACATCCTGCAACGGGTCGAATCATCTGCTGATCAACCAGTTTAGACATCTGTTGATCGACCAGTCTATATTTCTGTCGATTGGCTGGCCAAACTGTCAAACTGCCAAAAGAGCTTGATGCAAAAACGGCTTTTTTCGCCCCCCCCCCCCCCCCCCCCCCCTCAGACTTTGTCTATTGATTACTCATACTTGAGCGCTTCTTTTCCCAAATTTTCAGACCCCCAAAAAATTTTGGGGGGGAGCTAGGGGGGGTGGAAGTCAAAACCTGTAAACCTCGATATCTCTTGAACGAAGAAAGATATCGAGGTCCGGTTTGGACGAAAAATCGTCTAAAATTGCATACTTTCAGGTTCTAAAGGTCGAAATCCCAATACCACATTTTTAAGTCAACATATGTGCTTTTTTCCAGTTTTTAGGTCTAGAAAATTTCTTTTAAACTAAAAATTTACGAAGATCTCAATTTTTTAATTGAACCAAAACCAGTTTTTTAAATTGTTCGTCTTTTTCCGCATCCAACGAGTGGTCCATTAAGCTGGGGAACCAAACGGTTCCGGAGTTATGATCGATTGAAGTTTCCGCTCAACGCGCGCCGACCGATTTTCGCGCGCAAAAAGTCGGATTTGACTGTTATTAGATCAGATTGAATGTTCAAACTGAGCAAAATGCTTTATTAGGGACTCTTGAGGGTCGCTGAGTTCAGAAATTACCGATACTTCCAAAAAATTC